TCTCTCTCTCTCTCTCTCTCTCTCATGGTGTATGTCTCATGTGTGCGCTTCATGTAACGCCCCAGTTAATTAGGAGACCTATCCTACGTCATCTGAAATTTCACGCCAGGAATCTCGCGTTTGTGACCACGAAGACATCACCGACTCACGATAACATCTGATGCGGACGCTTTCGATCACGCACGGCTTTTGCCATCTCTTCTGCACAACATAGGAAAAGTATCAATGTCAATCAAGATTAATGCGGTTATATATGCGATTATTAATTTGTTACGACGTATTTCTCTTTTCAGAAACGTATTTATTACAAATACACGCATTCTTGAAGAATGTTTAAGAAAAATCTATAATTTATAACAAATATGTATTTTAAAAATTATAACATCGATATATTTAATATAATGTTTAATTTGATCTAAAAATACACGATCTTTTAAATTCCATCACTCTCATTTTATCTCATTTAATACCGATTTTGTTAAAGAAGGTATCAGAGATAGCATCGATAGTCTATTTTCGTTCTTTATTTATATCCGTTTATATCCTGTTGAATATAAATACGGAATGATAAATGATTCGATAGACATTTAATATTTATAGAGTTCGACGACATTCAGTATTTGTCGATCTAATTTGATATCGTTTAATTTTCTTTTTCGAGATCTTTTGAGGTATATATTAGGTATTAAATTATTTCATAGGTTCCGACTACTACCACTTTTGTTGTTAGAATCAATGTCACTATGGTGATCTTGTCTGTTATTGCTATTAATATCATTATAGATATCGATCATATTGACAAACTCGATATATACATTCATTTTACGTATATAATAGTTTAGTAATTTATTTTTTATTATTAAGTCATTATAGTGTTTAATCATTTTATTCTTTCTATGAGTTTTTTAGAAATACAATAATCATAGATATGGCTTTGATCACAAAATAAATTTTCTACAATAATTTTACTCAATTCATAGATATAATTATCTAAACTAATATAAATGTTAATTAATCATTTTTATTTCTTCTGTTTATAACAAAAAAAGCATTGAAAAAAATAATTAAAAAATTTGGAATGTTTGAGAAATTAGAGAAAAATTATGTAATTAATATTAATATTAATTTAGTGTTTAGCACAATGATTTTAAAATTTCGAGATATTTGGAGATTGCATAAAATAAAATATTATAATTTGATAACACGTAATTCGTGATTAAATATTTGTCTTGAATTTATATATTAATTCAACGAAGAAAAATTATTTGACCCTGTTCGCCAATGTCATCTGATTTTATTATTTTAAAAAGGCATATTGTTGAGATTTTGCTTTTAGATAAGATTGCTTTAGAACGTCCCTTCTTTCGAAAAAAGTTCAAGGAGCACCTAGAAAAAAATAACGTTTCGAAAGAAAACAATCGATGAATGATCGGGGGATCATCAGTGATCGAACGAGAGCTATAACCGCGGAACTCGCTAGCGCGAAAAGAGAAGAGAGAACGAGTGGTTGCGACGGAAGATCGTCGTATGGGGAGGAAAAGAGCGAAGAAACGTTAGAGTGTGGCGCGCGAGATGAGATCGCAAGATGAAAGTCAATAAAACCGAGTAATTTGAATTTTCGATATAAATCTTCTCTAAAATGTAATTTCTCTCATGAGATGATCGCGAAGTGCCATCATCTCGTTGATGATGATGATGTGGATTATCCTTGAACGCTAAGCGCTTATTCCAGCTTATTCGAGCTTTTTAACTCTGGCGGGCTTAGCGCTGTGCGAACACACGAATCTGCGTACCTTCGTTCACCGTGGTCCAGATGAGATCGCGGCTCTCTCGCGTCCAGGCCGCGGGGCAGGATGTGACGTCAGAAGGCCCCCGCCGAGCTGAGCACCGTCCGACGGACGGCGGCTGCGAGTCAATTGTCTTCTTTCACACTGACACACTGGCCAAATCCCCGCATCGACACGGCCGTTCACAAGTATTCGCACGCACGCACACACGTGCACACACCGCGCGCGCGCACACACACTCGAGGTCCGTCCCTCCTCCTCCACCCGCGTCCTCCTCTTTGTCCTCTTCCTCCTCCGGACTCCTGTTACTGCTGCTGCCGCTGCTGTTGCTTGTAGCAGCAAGTAGACACTAATTTATTAATGCCACTCCGACCACTATACTCTCCGTTACTCATTACGGTTTATTGACTTTCATTGCGATCTCGTCTCGCGCGCCACACTCTAACGTTTCTTCGCTCTTTTCCTCCCCATACGACGACCGATCTTCCGCCGCAACCACTCGTTCCCTTTTCCCTTTTCGCATCAATGAGTTCCGCGGTTATACGACGCGCTCTCGTTCGGTCGCTGATCATCCACCGATCGATGTTGATTGTTTCCCTTTCGCGTTACTTTTTTTCTAGGTGCTCCTTGAACTTTTCTCGAAAGAAGAAGGGACGTTTCTACAGCGATCTCATCTAGGGGCAAGTGTGTGATCTTCTAAATGAACACCCTGAAACCGAATTCATAATGTATTAGTGAAATGGGGTAGCAATCGTGATTACTGTGATTTATTCGAATTTATTTCCAATTATACTGATAAATAAAAATATTTTATTATGAATAGGTTCCGGGTAAACTTTTACATAGACAGGCGCGATTTTTCCGATAACGATAAATAGAAATTTTTTTTACGATTACCTCTTTTACGCGCTCTCTTCCGGCGATTAGTATCATAAGAATTTTCACAAGGTGATCTCGAAGCAGCGTGCGCTTTCCGATGTGAGAAAGGGGTCGTTGAGTCGAATCGATAGGGTGTGTATTATGAAGTAAATAATAGCACAGGGCGTGCATTTATAAACGACGCGTGACGGGTCGTGTATGGCTGACAACGAATTATTATCGGTATCATCATATTACAATCCTATTTCTATTATTAAAGACGATCCACCGATATCGTATCTCGTGAATAACGGGGCGATTTTTACTTTTACGGGGGGCCAGATGTGAGCTTCTAAATCGAGCTCAAAAGTATCGGTATACGTCATTCAAACTTATAGATCGAGATTAAAGATTAGGAAGGAGGTTTGTTTGAAGATGTAGGACTTCGTTGACATCGTACTTTCCGTCTTGCAATTCTTGATATTCGCGGCCTAGCGTGTTTACCGATGCCACTCCTCTCTCTCTCTCTC